CATTGACAATAATACGTACATCATTCGTATACCATCCAGACTAGACGGGCTTTGAGATTGACAAACTCATTCATGGTAGAGTTTAATTTATTAATATAACCCAATAACTTGAACTTATTTGTTAATTTAATTTTGATTTTTGGAGTAATATTTGTACGTATATCTAGTAGATATATCTTTTGAAAGTAAATGCCACATGTGACCGCTACGGTGCTATTAAAGCTTTAAAAACAAAATTTAAGATAAAAATTATCTGATATTGACATTTTTTCGTACTTGATATGCTACACTGGATCAGATAGAACGTAAAGTATGGTTTATTCATAAACCATATCTAACCCTTGGCATATACGTATACGTATAAGTATTTTAATTTGATGTAGTAATATATCTTCTATAATATAATAACCGTCGCGTCATTCCAATGTCCGTTTTCATTAAACATGTTACACTTTATAATGTTGCACTCTGTACAGAGTACACACCATTACACACACACACATACTTATAAAAGGTTTCCGTACACGGATTCTGGTGCAAGTGATACGGCTCGTAAGACTATACGCCTATGTCACAGGACATAATACAGTGCGTATTTTATTTATGTACATAATATAATAATATATGCCCATATATGCGAGTGTGCGTTATAGTTTTCCATGCGGTCGGTTATCATTTGCAGTGTTCCATTTGATCGTATCGGTTTGTATAATATTATAAGCTGTTAAACGTGTCGTCTCTTATTCTAGCACAGGTTCGAGTACCTATTTATACCTATATATATATAATGTGGTATAAACATATACGAACGGCTTTCAGATCATTAAATTTTGCAATATTTTATATACTCCACATAGGTCGCTACGAAAATCGTTTATATCTACGTTATAATAATATAATATTTAATACACGCGTGTATTAAATTGAATATTAAAGCGTTTTTCGTTCGGTTGGTACGGTCATGATTCATGCGGTTCATGAATATCGATATTAATACATCAGTTATCTAAATATAATTTTATATCCATTAATTTTTTATAACTTTTTATTATTTAACCATATATTACACCATTATACTGTAGAAAATAAAACGGGTAAATACTTAACTGATTTAATTACGTTTTATATTACATATTATCTATAATTTATAATATCATTATGTGTCTATTTATTTTCTTTAAAGAAATGATTTATTTTATTATTATTGCCACATGAAATAATTACAAATTATATGTTAAATATCTTATTTAATTTTGATCGTAAAATGTGTTTTTAATTAAATATAGGTTTCTATATTATATACCTTTCTATTTATCTAAACACAATTTTACATTAAAATATCAAGAACTAGCCACTTTGATTTAAACCGAGATTTATTAAACGCATTATATCTTAATTATGTTATTGCAAATCTTTAATGGTCGTACCTACTATACTAATTGAAAATTGTTGTTTTTATTTTCAAGAAATTCTAAGTGCCAAAACATGTTTTTCAAAAATTATATAATTCTTTTTCATAAAAATTTTACCCAAGTTTCTGAACTATATTAACATATTTTTACTCGACATTTGTGATTTAGTGATGTTTATTTTTTATACTTTTTTTCATTAAAATAAATACAAGTATCTTAACGTTTTATTTTTATGTGGAATATCTAAATAGATATACTCGTATATATTTTAATCTGTCTTACTGTTTAAGCACTAAGAAATAAATAAATAATGTTTATATATAATTATTAGCATCATGTTAGACTTTATTGTAATATTATAATAATATAATTTATTCATTTGCCAAAATCAAAATAAGCATTGAACTGTATTAAATATCAAATATTTATGGTATTAATACTTAACTACATGGTTTAATTTGATCGATAAGTTGAGATTAAACGAATTAAGCCAATCCTATTTTTACAAACAAGACGTCAATATAAATTCCCTTGGTGATTTGACATTAATAATACGAACACGTGATAATATAGTGACTCTAATCACTCCATATAATGATATGTGTTTATAGTCCTCTGGGTATTAAATCGTTAATTGTATTTATGTACACGTATAAAACAAACTTGATCGGAATAACTAAAATGTTAAAAACGAGAAATTGTGGTAAAACTACGCATAGTAAAAGACATTTTAGTATTTTTATATACAATATGTGATGCTAACTGATTGAATAATTTGTCAAAAACTATAATAGCCATAAAAAAAAAAAATCGCCAATCGATAGACGTTGAGTAAAATACATTAAAACATTATGTGTACTATTTACGTAATACTATTATAATATCATATTTATCGAAACGTCATCTGCGACTACGGTAGCTGCGAGCGTGTCGTAAAAATATAAATGATGTTAACACGACTTTTGGTCGGTATTCACGTGGGTTCTTCGTTTGAAATTTCGGAAATGACTATACATTTTCCAACAGCGGATTGTAAGTAACCGTGTGGTCTCGGAAGCCTATATATGTTTCAACGCAACAACAGTGGTTACAGTTATAACTTATGACGACCGATAACTATGGCGACGACGGCGATTTCTACTCGCTTCCGTATGGTATGGCGCATAGGTAGTTATTATTAGTGCCAGTAATTTGTCAACAGTATTGTACGTATAATAATATATAATATGTATTATATTATATAAATGTTTAGGTGGAAGCTGCGACCGCTCCTCTGCGGCGACTCGTTAACTTTATTACTGGCCATTAAAGTCTACAGGTTTTTATTTTTCTCGTTCACTTACTATCCCCCTCGATCCCTCCCCATCACTAGTGTATTCTCGTATAAACGTTGTTACTATTATTATTCTGTTCCACACATACGATTTTTATTTTTCACGTCTTTTAATATTATCACGTCATAAAACACGCGCCGGACGTATATATTTTATTTTTTTTCTCTTTGCAAACCGCAAATCGATACCAATAAACTCATATCATAATATAAGTGTACTGCGCGCAACGTGTCTTATTGACACGTGTTTAAACGCCACTCGGGTTTCGCGCGCGTGGAGACACGATCGTTTTTTTTTTCTAAAAGTATTTACATGTTTCAATAAATTTCCGGAACCGCTAGTATATGTGCTCTGTCAAACGTTCTGGACGCTCGTTATTATAATATAACGCGTTGTCATTTATTTTATAACGCTGCACGTACCTACGCGCTATGTACTCATTGCTAACACGCACTGCACAGTATAAATATTGTTGTCGAGTGAAAAAAAAAAATGGTTTAACGTCTCAGCTGCGACCGCGGTCGATCCTAATGGCACTATCCGTCCGTCTGTCTGACGGGATTGTGGTAACACTATTATATTTTCATACCACGGTCGCAGTTCGTTTATAGGTATAATAAGTACAACATCGCGTACTCAGAATACAGCGGCTTTCAGACAACATGCGCGTGTAATACGCCTATATTATATTATATTATATACAACTATAATATAGACTCTGCGATGGGAAAATTGTATTCGTATGTAAACGGCACACAGACACATATATTTCATATTGAACGAAACGTGTTTGAACGCGTTTGAAATCTCGTCCAGCGAATAAATCTATAATAATACCTCTTACATATTATATATATGTATAATATTATATAATAAGAAATATATATAATACAACAGCAATTTTAATTTAATAGTTGGTTCAATGATATATGATATATATTATAACATATAGGTCTTCTGATTTACACGATGATTTAACGGAGGTGTAAACACCATTTACGCAATGGTTTGGAAACATAGAAGATTCATTACGCTAATTTTTCGTCGAGATTTATAAACATCAATTTTATTTTAGACTTTTTTATCGAATCCTTGGAATTTGAAATTCTTTAGAAAAACGTTATTATTAAATAATTTTATTAAAGTTAGGTTTATAAATTTACTTATACATAATGTTGGCAATTGATTCAACAACAACAAAAAAAAAAAAAAAATATCAATATCAATCGCGATGAAATAACGATAAGTACTAATAATAAGTTATAGAATATTATTAATGTCTATTAAATATTATTATCAAAACTTATTCATATACTCATTTATAAATGAGTATGAGGTATAAGATTTTGGTATTAAAATGAGAATTATCCTTTTTATCTTTAAATTATTTAGTGGATAATTAAATAACATTAAAATCAAATTTGAACGAATAGTTTTTGAGTTTTTTTGTACACAAGTGTAATAGATTAAAGATAATAAGTTTGGAAAAGATTAGGACCTTAGTGACTAAAAAATAAAAGTAACTTATATTACTTTTATCTATCAAGCTCTTATAAAATATGTCCAAGTATAATAGAATAAATACTATAGATTCAATATTACATTTATTTTATACTTTTGTAAAACTATTTTTAAAAACTTTGATTTTCAAAGTAAACATTTTAATAATCGATAAAAAAATATATTCTTTCAAATTATATGTTAAAATGTTAGATACATCTAAATTTTCAAAAAGAATTATGTTCGAATTAATTTAATAATTTAAAGCAAAAAAGGTATGTTTTCTACGGAAAAACAAAAACTTGTATCATTGTTTTGTAGACATTTTTAGGTACCACCTACGAAAAATCTCAGAAATTTGAAAATATATGGCGTTTATGTACATAGAAAAAATTTTAAAAACCGGATTTTGAATGACTGCAGTAATGAAGAAAACAGGGATGAGCATGCTTGATGAATCACCTTATATAATATAATATTACTTATTAGTAACCGATTTTCCACGTTTAAATATAACGAGCTAAGAGGCTTTTTTACACGCGTCAAACATCACGCTAACAAAACGAAGTACGGACAACCAATATAAAATATTGAATCTCGTACAAAAATAATAATAATAACTAAGAGAAAAACGCATGTATACAGGAGGTGCCACTTTAACTGAATAGAAATAATAATGGCAGAACAACAATAATAGTAATAATAATAATATAATAACAACAAATAAATTACGTCGACATATTATTCTACTTACGTAAGTACTTGATTTGTGCTGACGATGACTGGCTGTTGGCTGTTTTCCATGTTGTCTTTGACCTGTAACACGCAGTGTATCCAAAGCCAGTCCCCTGTGGCCCTCTTCTGTACCCTGGCCAGCAGTATGCAAGAACGATCCTGTTCCGATTGTGTAACTGCGTACAAATACAACCGACAATAATTATTGTTATTACGTGTATTTCAAAATATAATAATATGTAGTATACCTATAATATATACACATATATACATATTATACATATATATATATATACGAGTTGTACACTACTATACTGTTTTATTTTCTCTTAAACAACCGTAATATATATATATGTACTATTATGTGTGGAGATATAAATATATATACACGTCGCGTACATATATCACGGGTGGGCGATAAAAATTTGTTTTTATTCATATTATCATATAATATAATACATATCACTTTTGGTTTCGGGGCGGCTGCCTTCGGCTCTGCGTATTTGTAAACGGTGTATAATGAATGCTTGCATATATATGTACGTGTTATAAAACTGACGTGTATAATGTATAATATACTCACTCAGCCTGTGTTTGCTCTGAGCTTCGCGCATGCACTCCCAATGCAACAATTGATACCAAGAGACGCCCTGCAGCTCTGAACGAGAAAACCCCAAATGAAATTCTCCTCTGAAAAAAAAAACAATTAACGATGAAAAACTTCTTTTTTTTTTCGGTGCCACAACGCGCCTGAAAAACCAATGGAATCCGAATGCGTTTTTATCGATTTCCTTGCGCGGTTATAATGTAATATGCACTTAAACAAATTATTATTGTTCATATATATAAGTACCTACACCGCGACTAAGACGGGTCGAATAGTAATGTTCAACGGTTATATTATCGACTGCAGTATATAATATAGCGTAATATAATGTTTTGGAATTCTAAAAAACACCGCAGTATATATACTTCATGTAATCGGGAATATTATGGTTTTCGATTACGATTTCGATTGAATTTCGAAGACGGTCCTATTTCCTCCTACTCCTCCCCCGCGCTCGCGGTGGCCGTAGTAGATATCTCGCATAGACACACATACATATTTATTTTATATGCTTGTAATACATTATAGTTACAAGAACAAGAATTTGTAGGCGTCGCGAGCGCGAGTTTGTGATCGATAGCGAGATTTGTTTTTAGATCATAATATTATATTATGTACCTATAATATTCTCACCGTTACAAATCATAACTCGATCCGCGCCGAGAAAGTCGTGTGTATCCGATTCTGGTGTAATTTCATTTTGTAGGCACGCGAGGCGTGGGTGGAGGGGGTGCTCGGCTCAGGACGTTTCGCAACAATCGAAAACGCCGTTCGGTAATATCCTCGCGGCCAGAAAATAACACGTCCCGCAGTGAGTAATATATATAACCCTTACCCGCCCTCAGCAGCCGCAGCACATCCATAATAAGTAACGCGCGGTACGTGTCGGCTACGATGGACACATACACACACGTGCTCACACGATATCTTGTTCTGGTCGTAATTCATTCATTATTCGTGGCCTGTTCAAATGAGATTATTCAAACGCGTATGTATAATATTATATGCTATACCAATATTTTAATAACTGTAACAATGCGATGACGTCGTATATATCGTCCACCGACACACAACACCCAGACTAATTGCAGGAAACGGTCACCGCCCGGTTCGGAAGCACGATATCGCATTCAACGAAACAATAATTCGAAATATTATAATTTATATTTATACGAGCACGCGTAGTACACATCGGATTCACGAGTATCGATTATAATATTCTACATAGGGCGCTATTAATGCTCGCCCGTCAATAATTCCTGCTGATGTATCTACCTGCTTCCTAAAAGGCAAAAAACTATATAGCTTTAAGGTTAATACCTTAAAAAATCAGTAGTTCAAACTTTGAAATATTTATACGTAAATTAACTCAATAAATCGAGTGAACGGTCAAGTGAAGCAAATGCTTATGACGATTTTAGATTAATTGTTTTTCGAGTTCGATTATTAATTTATACGATATACGTACTCATATTATGGATCTTTCACGGAACAATATCTAAAGCACGATATTATACGTAGAAAAACAGTTGTAATTATTGATAGAGGAACACACACCGAGCTGAAATATTTTGTACGTGCAGAATGTCGTGTATATGGCGACCGCGGGAGACAAACGACGAGACAATCTTCGCGTTACGAGCTTTTCCACGTTCATGGTATATGTAACTACCTACCATTCATGTAACATTATATACGCGTATACAATATCGAATGGTCTATACAGAAGCTAAGACCGATGACGTGTGAATGGGTCGGGTCGCGTATGCAAGTACATAGGTATTACACAACGGTCATCGAGCTCGCGCGGCATTCCTTTGAGACGCGGAAATCGATTCCGGTAATCGGAAAGACGGACTCATACGTATATCGATCGATTCGAGGTAGGCCTTTCGTGGCGGACACATTTGCAGCAACGAAGTCTGCGACAAACGACCCACCGACCGACCACACATGCCATATAATTGCAATTGAATGTATATTATTATTATTATAGTATGTTTATACGTACATTTACGTAATGTATCGCGCCACCAAAAGGTACCTATATTATTATCATTATTATTTCCTAGAAGACAGCGTGTATTATCCGGTGCAGTTGGGCTTCGCGTGATTAATGGCGAATACGAAGTATATAATATACAAAATAATACGGTGTATATATTATAATATAATAATATAATAGCGTGTACGCGCGACGAAAGCTTGTATTGCCGACCGCTTTGCAGGTATTCATCGGCCGACCTCGCCCACGCGACGGGGACACCCGACAAATCGTTCGCCCGTTGCACCAATTCCGCTCCACGCAACACAACAGCTATACAAAACTGTTATTAATCACCCGTTTTGCCGTTCCCAGTTTTAATATGACATACATCCAACGCGGAGGCAATAAATACGTACTCGTTTCTTTATTATTAATATTATTATTATTTTCTTCTGATAGAGGTAGAGGTATACTTCTATCACCCGACAACCGGTCTCGCCGCCGCCGCCGACAACGTCCAATGATATATATATTTTGGTAGTTAATTTGTTCCCGCGCGCGGTTTGTCGTGTCTGGTATATATATTATTTTCGATAATTGTTTTTTAACGAGGTAATTGGTGAAATGCACACGTGCGCGAATATAGTGCCTACCTACCAGTATATATTATAATATAATATTTAAGTGATGGTGATGATTTGTTGCCCGAATCGTAAGCATTTTAATTGGCGCCCCCGAAACCGGAGTTAGATACGAAACGTAATTTTTATTTATTATTATTATTATTATTATGTGCATGAATAATTCAGAGCACGTTATACAAACAGAGCGCAGCCGGTACACCGGAGCAGCAACAACGCATTTATTTAATAATATTTTATAGGTTTAAACTTTAACAATGACAACGACGATGTTTAAGGTAAATCGATTAAAAACGAAAATCGCGTTGGTCTTGTTTCGAATGCATAACATGTGCCTCGGTCACCGTTGATCACGTGCCGTAAACGACTATAGTAATATGAGCGACGGCGGTGCGGTGCGGCTGGTCGGCAAATCGAAACAATGCCCCCCTTAATGGTATTTAAGTGTTAACATACATTTTGTCTACGTGTATGAACTTCATGTCCATCGAATGGATGGCTGTGAACACTGTGGTGGAACCCTGGACCACAGCCTCCCTGGTCTCGGGCATCGCCACCGGGCTGCAAGTGGCTAGGAAAACTGGTTCATTTCTGCTACACAGCGGCAGATAGGAGAGGTAGTGGCCCTGTACTAAAACCACCTGGCGAACAAACGATTATAATTACTCTATGGTACAGAATTATATAACTTGTGTATAGTTGTATGATTATAATATTATTATGAGGGGTCAAAGTGTTAATTTTTGTTTTTGGAATATTAAATATTGCGTTTGAATCGGCGAGTCAAAACGGGTTCATTTTTTAGAGTACAAAACATGTTCAAACCAGTTTTTAATTTTTTAAATTCAATTGGATATAAACCTGGTCGCGTGCCTGTTATGACTTTCCGATTAGTAAACGCACTGCTATCAGATTAACCTTTGAAAATAGTTGAACCGTTCTTTATCAGGACGAATGTTATTACTATGAGACGGCGTATTGGATAAACGTGTGTACATTAATATAGTTGTTATTTGATTAACAATTACACTTATTTATGATTTTAAAAATCGAAAAATATTATTTTGATAAGATAAATACTAATATATAAACCCTCATATGAATAATAACCAATAAAAAAAAAAAATTGAACACGTCATATAATTATGTTATTATAATAACTACATAGGATATAGTTTTTATTACTTTTTGATCGCCGAATCGCATTTGCCTTCGAGCGTTTCTGGAAACGTTCATCCGGCACAAGAACATGCGCTTGCATCCTTGATCCTCGGCAGACGTTTGACTTCTGGATAATTCGGTTTGTACAGCCTGATGATCTTGTTTGTCGATCATGTCGTACACACTGTCGCCGTGTATGAGGAGATCCTCCTGCAGGAATGAACATATGATAATATTATTAACAATATCGATGTAAAATAATAATATAAATATAAACAAACGCTTAAATTCCGTTATGATAATATCATACCTATCACTGCAAATGGACACCGCGGGAGAGCAGGTGATTTCGAATATATCGAATGCCTACGAGCGCTCTATGATATACGGGCGCGGAGAGTATATACTAGGTATATAATATATACCTAATATTTAATATTTGAAAAAAAAAAGAAGTTTTTTCTTCTTCTCGTCCTACGTGCTATATGAAATCAACGCCCATAATGTTTTAATCGTTACATAAATCTTAATAGCCTATCCGACGGAACGAGGAGGAGGACTGCTGTGGTATAATATTAATACGGCTGAGGAAACGTCCCCGGGGTCGTCGTCGTCTTCGTCCCCGCGTAGCCACACGTCTGTATCGTCACCGTGGACTAAATAAAAACTTATAAACTCATAACTAATATTTTTGGACACATAATGAATCATCATAATATTACTTACATGAACCTAAACCTCACGTAGGGTCATGCCCTGGCTGTAATTGAGACCGACCAATGGTTTCGCCGATTTCCGTGTGTTATAATATTATAAATTATGAACTAATACAAAAAGTATCCTATTGTTCAAAGTCTTGCTAGCTAATTTTACTCGTATCTCAGCTTAATGATATAAATACGTAAGTAAATTATTACTCTTCACTTTAATTAAATACTTATTTAATATTTACATCATTAACAATAGACAATATAAGTAAAAGTAGGTATTATAATGAGGATCATGTAAAAATAAAAAATAATTATGCACTATAAAATCGAATAAAAGGCATTTAAAATTGTAATTAATGTGATGAAATACTTGAAAAATAGACTGAAAATTTACAACAACTAAGAATCAAGGTTTAAAAATATTTTGCAATGAATTTACGTAATAAATGTAATTACTGTATGGTAACAACAATATAATCGTATTTATTCAGTACACATTTATATACAGGTAGCTTGTAATAAATATTTAAAAGTTGAGAAAATTGCTATAAAAAAAATATTAAAATTTACCTAAAATAGATATAGTAACTCAAAATTATGTATTTTGTAATATACATTTTGAAAATTGTTGCTATCCTAAAATCTAAATTAAACGTTGCTCTAGTGATTATAGTAATAATATCAATTGAATTTTAGAATTTGTACATACTCTTACGAGCTCATGTGGTTAGAGATTTCAAGTTGAGTATATTATGTAATAATTAATTATACCTATATAACACATTAACACGTATAAGTATGCGTTTGTATTTATATATTATACATAATGAATAGGTATAGTACTTGTTAGTATCTACTTTTAGTTATAAAAAGTAACATAAACAAATTAATAGTAATTTATTTTAAGTCAGCGAAAAAATAAATAGTCTTATATAGTTATATCAACCAAATGTACCAAATTTTAGAAAACGTATATCTCTAAAAAATCGTGTTAAATTGGATCGTCGTGAGATTTATAAATAGCAATCCAGTGAATAACTGAAATTAAAAATATAATATTTTTTATGTTGGTGTTCACAACCATCTTCGGTTTATCACTTAAAATACGAAACACAATTTTTTAGATTCAATGGGTGTTGTGATGGGAAGGGGGACCACACCACTGCTCCAAGTTGACCGATCGGTGCTCAGACCTACCGCCGCACCTACATACAATACCTCGTGGTATATAACATTTATATACATAGGTACATGATAGGTAGGAATAGTAATTTCCCGCGAATGACAATGACGCATTGCGAAGTGATAAATCAACGTGGCCTATAACGACGACTTCGACGACGATCGCGATGGAGGAAGAGAGATAAAGCAAAATATGATCGTACCAAATCCGAAAAGATAAACTGTAGTTATAAACACACCGTTTTGTCCGATCAATTGAAAACGTTGTTCGCGCGTGTTATCTATATATGTAAGCTTATATTTATTTTATGGGTACAGGCGGAAGTGTAAAAACCATTAACCGATCGGTTCTTATTTGCCTTATTGTACACGGCTACCGAACAGCCGAGTTACACGCATGGTTCATATATTATTATTATTATTATTATTATTAAATAGGTATCTACCCGCCTGTTATCGCAACACCTATTTTTTTTTTTATAAAAATATGCTGTAACGAGCATCTTACCTATATAATATTGCATTATACCTACTACGGTTAGTAGTCAGTTGCATTTTTTTACTGGTTTTATTTATTTATATTTTTTCGCATCCAGCGTCTCTTCGCATTCTAATAAACCTGTATAATATAATTCCACGTGCGAACTTTAGTACACCGCAGTGAAAGTCTACACGTGCGAATATATAAATGTATGTGTGTGTAGGTACAGGTATGGCGGGTAAATCGCGTCGTATAATAGTATATATTATTATAATGGCGTTTAGCGATATAAATTGTGTATAATATTATTATATGTTATATACACGGATAAAAACACACAACTTTACAGATATCGAACAAAAAAAAAAAAACGTTTTGCAAGCAGCGGGCGGTAATCCAGTCATAAAAACACTTATCTCGCGGCAATTGGAGAAGAAAAAATGATAATATATACGACGTGTATCTATACGGAAAATTACGATGTCACCGCGGCAGCGAGCAACGGTTTTTTTATTCTCTCCATAAATTACATTTCCGTCGATTTAAGTATGCGCGCGTACCAGCTATATATGTATAATAATGAATATGTAGTGCACAGTGTGTGATTACTTTGGGATGGCGAGGAGGTGTTCACAATTAATTTATGGGTTTCGACGATTGTGTATTGTTTTTATTTGGCATAAGTTACAATTATAATAAAATAACTCGAACCGACGATAATCTCAAAATCACAGATACCTACGGCTGTTAATTAGTGAGTATTATGAAATAGCTGTATGTTGCAATTTGAAGTGTAAAAATACAAAACACATTAGCTACCCACGTTATTATAATACATGTATCGCGGATACTCGTATTTAAATCATGCATGTGTATTGATATCACCGAAAGGATTATAATACTTTAATAACACGATTTTTCGCACTATAAATATCGCTTTAATATTAGGTGTATATAATATCAGCTATTGTTTGTGCTATAAATTAAACAACTTGTATCGGTCTCCCCGCGGGCGCTCTTCGTAAACGTTGTCGTATCGCGCATACACACTAAATATAAATACCATTGTGCAGCGGGTAATTTAAGTAGAGATTATAATATTATTTTACCTATACCGAGTTGTGTACCTACTATATTATAGTATTATTGCAATGTACTTACACGTCATGACTGTAAGATGATCGCTGTAACGCTTGTTTCAAACGATCGCAACCGATCTGCTATGAGTCCGACGAAATATGTATACGGACACACGTGGTGATATTCAGATATTATCATAATATTACACTATAAAATGTAAGTACCTTCTACTATAATATACATTCAAAGTCGAACGGCAGTCGTACCGCGAGTATTCGAATAAATACAACGAAGGACAGATAATTATAATAATATGAACCGATATCAGTAACGATCATGTAGGACATGATGTAAGAGGCTCCGCCATGAAAAAGGATTTCCATATTTCCATTTTCATTAGATCTTACTGGACCATAACCCGAAACCACGCGATGACATTTCTCTATTTGATTTGCGCATTAGGTATGTTTAAATAAAACATAATATATTATTAATTATTATTATGCGTCGTGTGATAAGTTGTTATTATCATCATACGAGTATACTTTTGAACATTGACAATATAAGTATTCGTTATCAACATTAAATAAGTACATAATATTATTAAATATTAGGTAATAACATAGTTTACGCGATACCGCCATTTGTCGTTTGAAATACGAATATAATCGCAATGCCGAAAACACAAGAATACAAAGTGATTTACTAAGCACGCTCAACTCCATATTTTCCTTTAATAAAACATTTATTCAAATTTGAATTTAGGATTTTCAAGTATTTTTATTTTTAAATTCTTAAGAGGTTTTGTACTACTCAAAAAGTGTCATTTACCACTTCTTTTTTTTCAAACGCGTGAGGATTGTTCTTTTTTTTTATTGTACCTACATTATTAATTAATGGATGATTTTTTTTTTTAAGACCGTGATAAACTTGAAAAGTTTTGTTCAAAATTCAAACGAGTATTTTCCTAGTTATTTATCTCATAAGTTTTTTTTTTTAAGTAGTTCAAGAAATCTTAAAAATTTGAAATATAATATCTAAATATATTTAAAAATTTCAAAAATCAAATTTTAAATAACTATATTTTTAAAGAAAAGAAGGTGATGATCATGCTTCGTGAATCATCTTGTATAGTTATTATTATATTATGTAAGTACAAAAATGCAGACAGATATGTTTGTGTCATTAGTAGTCCTGCGGTAGGCTAACATTTTCGAGTTTATGTGTGTGTATCGCATTTAATGAACCTCAGTAATATAATAAAACGAAAAAAACATGCGACTTTGTCGCGGTGGAACAGAAGAAAAAAATTTATCAATTTATATGGAAATGTGCGATACCGAATAAGGACAAATGAGTTGCGTGGGTCGGTACAACTGTTTTTTTTTTTTATATAGAACTATATGCGCGCGAACGACTGTAATGATGATGGTGCTTGGTGATGTGTACCCCTACAATGTGATTGTGGCCTACTAGTGTGACAACGCGTGTCAGCAAATTTTGTTTTTGAATAAAAATAAATTGTATTGTTACACAATCGAATTTGAGAATTCTGGAAACTGAATGTAGTGAAATACATAAAACAGTACTTTAATTGGACATTGGCCCAGACGAGAAAAGATATAATCACCGAAATAAAACAATTATATCTTATTTTGTTTTGTTTTTTACTTAAGTATATACTACAAAAAATATTGTCATATTTACTCTAAATATAGTTAACTTGTAGGATATTTAACATTTATACTACTTATACG